GACCGAACCTCTTTCGAAGCTCGGAACTCGATATCAGAAAATGCAGATGCATCCACCACTAGTGATCAAGAACTTCCACAGTCCGAATACTTCCGCCAGTTTGGACTGGAACCACTGGTGAGAGGTCTCCTAGAGATGATCGGACAGAAAACCGCAGTGCCCTCGGAGAAGACAAGGCCCTTCAGGATATCGCTGTCCTTGATGGACCGATGGGAAGTTGGTGGGCACATAGTCACTGCAGTCTTTCTCCCCATTATCCGAAACGTTCAAGCTTTCGAGAAAGTAGCCTCCAAAAGCCACTTTGACGAGGTTTTTCGCAGTGCCAGCGCCTTTTTTGACGGTGTGGAGAGCGGAGTAATTTTCTCGGAACTGCTCAAGCTGGTAGATTGGGTACCGGAGAGTCTTGATCGCGAAAATGGTCAGGTAATGGATAACCTTAAACTCGCTCAATTCATTGTGGAAAATTTCAACGTGCGAGAGGAGGACATGATTTTGAACCATATCCCACTGCTGACCCTCTCGGTCCTTATTAAGATGAATGAGCTCTCTCCGAAAAAGCATCCCAAAGTTGCACATGATCAACTAAGACTTGTGTCGCATGGACTCTTCAAAGTGATGAGCTCACTGACGGGCCTGCTTACAGAAAGGGCTTTCTCCAAGAAGTTAGCTTCTGAAAAGATAATCACAAGCCATCAGGCTGGTGACCTCAATATGCCCGAAGTTCTAGAGAAGATCCATGGCTTCTATAAGCAAAGCACCAGCAGCCTTGATCCCCCTCCATTACCCTTCGCTTCTAAACAACTTGCAGAGCTGATAATTGACAAAGCATACGAACTCGTGTTATCAGCACTTGCGGGTGATAACGGCATCGCATCTATACAGGAGAACGTAAATCTTCTCATTGTACTGCTGAAGAAGCTTCCCAGGTCACGCATACCGCGCGACAGACGGCTTTATCTTGCCATCTGTAACCACGTCAGTGCGAATCATGCCGAGCAGTCTACTGCCACTTTCTCGGCTGTCTCATCAATTGCCACTGGTGTCACCAATTTATATTCTATTCAAAGTCCCGGGTTTTATATCAGCTATGAAGATATTTCCGATCTTATCCCGTCACTTGTTAAACAGATTTGGCAATATCTTTCACCATTGAGCCCAAAGTTTCATGTGGAAGCAGTTCGCTGCCTGTGGCATTTGCATTCAGTCTCATGGCCTGATCACCTTGTTGAGGCGTCCATAACATCACTGATGGTCAACTCTTCCAACACGTCACGACAACTGCTCTCGGAGGAACAGGTTGGAAGATACTTTGTATTGTGGAATCACAGCCACCATGGTACCTATGAACTTCCGCCGAAGCACGCACAGGATTCGGCGCTGATCCAGGTTTCTTACCAATCCTCCCTGCTTGAACGTCCGCTTTTTATTGTGTTAGACTCGCTCTCTCAAGCCCCTAATGAGACCTCCGAGGTGGTCCAGCGTTGGCTCCAGGACCTGCCCTCCGTACACAAGTAAGCTCCCCAACTCTTCAGGTACGCCCTTGCCTTTGATATAATTACTCAATGATGAAATAGGGTCTTCCACATAGTTGTTTCACGACTGGATAGTCTTTTCACCCAAGCTGATCCCTCTGGGGCAAATCCAACAAGCCTTTCCATATCCCCCGATGATTTCAAGGAATGTAGCTATCTATTGGAGACGATTCATAATATCTTATCAGTCATCCCCCACAATGGGTGGGTTACTTTACTGACCCAGGCATCGGCTCAAGGTGACCGACACCATGATGTCTCTGCTTCAGAAGGTGAGCTTCATGACCTCAGTTTAAAATTTTGAGACTCACCATACCGGCAGATAACACCGGGACGCAAACTTTACACTCGACCATATTCCACGCCATCCTAAGAATTGTTAGTGGACCGAAGATTACACCACAGACAAACTTCGACGAAGTTAAATTGCAACAAACATCCCTGCTTGTCATGCGTCAACTCCTGCTAGGCCCAGGAGCTGAAGAGGTGGCTGAGTCTGGAATTGACTCCCTGCTTGTTGACCGACTTTCTGCTGTTCTAGATGATGGTGGTAGCGTTACTGTCCAAGGGGCTCTCATTGACACTCTCCTTGCAGCACTGAAGGTTCGGTTTGCTCAGGCATACTTACCACAGCCTCCTCCTAGACCAAAACATCAGAGAGCCAGCTCACGTGAGCGCTTGACAAGTCCCTCTATTCTGTCATTTACGAGCGACAAGGCCGAAAAAGTGCCCCCAATCCCTACCATGCCACAACCTCCACAGCAGCTCCTAGAATGTCTTCTCAAGGGTATCAGCTCTCCAAACTCGAGGGGCAGCGTGGAAAGATGGACGATGTTACTCTGTGAAGTGCTTCCACTATACTCAGGATCTATATTCCAGATCATTCTGATGCTAGTGGATTGCTTCTGTAAGGAGATCCAACTTGCGTACACAAATCTGCAACTTTCATTCAAGCACACAAAAGGTTGGCCCGAGGATAGGTCCGAACATGCCACCATAGCTCTACTCTCCGGTCTTGAAACCTGCATTGCAACCGCTCATGAGCGCCTTCTTGTGGACGAAGCAAATGTCCCTGCCTCTAAGAGCCCAGACCAACCCCAAGGGTTCTTTGGAAATATGGTATCAGGCGTGTTTGCGTCAGACGCCAGTCACGGTCGTTCAACGGCTGCGAATAATAGACTTACTGTCTTACTGTGCTTCCAAGATGCTGTGCGCCTGTGCTTTTCTATCTGGGCTTGGGGAGCCGTGGAGAAGAGTACTCTTCCGCAAGATGCTGAGTCTCTGGCATCCTTCCAATATACGTCTTTGCGCATGAGGAACCGCTCCCGCCGGATCCTCGAGCATCTGTTTACAGCAGAGGCCCTTGAATGCCTTGAGACATTAGTAGAGATGTGGACAAAGACGGACAGTAATACCTCGTCGCTTATTTTCAGCCTGCTTCATACTCTGGATGGGTCTCGACCAAAAATCGCAATCCCGGCTATATTTAACGCCATCTATACCAGGACGAACCCGTCTGCTTTAGACCCCAGTCGTAAATCTACTCAATCGTCGACTCTTACAGAAAACGAGTTAGCGGGGTTTTTAGTTACTTATGCCAGGTCCCTTGATGACGATGTTCTCGATGAGATTTGGGCAGACTGTACTACCTTTTTGCGTGATGTTTTGAGCAACCCATTTCCACACAGGCAGATACTTCCTCGTTTGGTTGAGTTCGCTGCTATCCTCGGTGCGAAGTTGGAGAACACCAGTTTCGGTGAGGATCGTCGCATGAGGAAAGAACTTGGGGTGCGTGATCTATCAATTGATGAGGTATTACTTATGCTGACCTTCGTAGGATGTACTGCTACGTCTGCTCACGGCAATATTTACCAGCAAGCCCCTGGGGCTGTCACAAGAGTCGGGCCTGCTGGGTCGAGGCTCTTTAGAGCATGATAATCCGTCGGCGCCTCATATCGGACCAGATGACATGCTCAGCATTCTTGCTAGTTCCATGCCTGCCTTTACAACTACCTTAGGCGATTCGGATCGTATTACTACAGCTGTATCAGGCATTTCTACCCATGTGATAGGGCCCCTTTTGCGATCGCGTCTTTTTCCAAACAATATCAGCCACAACTTTATGGCTCTCTTGCAACATATCGCAAAGGTTCCGGCTGCCGCAAAGATATGGAAGAAAGACATTGCGGAAGCCTTCAATGATCCTAGATTCTTCAGCTCTCACCTCGAACTTGTGAAGGGTGGATGGATGAACCTATTCCGGCAATGGGTGCTTGCTGATAAGGATCGATTATCTGAACTGATGTCTCGGCTTCCACCCCCGAGCGCTGCGGGCATCATGTTTGGTGTGGGAGCGTCTGCTGCCCGCCTAGATGCCGATAGGAAGGCCCAATTGAACCTTCGTAGGATTACCCTACTTATATTGTCCGCGAACAATGATTACTTCATTGGAGAACTACCGGGACTTCTGCAGAAGCTAGAAGATCTTCTAGGGGCTACTAGTTCATCATCGCCGTCATCTACGACTAGAGCGGAGATATTCATGGTTCTCCGGGCTCTTGCACTGAAGAGTTCCACAACTGCGCTGGCTCCGTTCTGGCCTTTGATCAACACGGAGCTCCAAGAAGCGATTGCTGCCGTTCCGCTTGGATTACAGCAAGAGGTATACAATCCATACGCATTGTTGCAGGCGTGTAAGCTTCTAGACACGCTACTCGTCCTTGCGCCGGATGACTTCCAACTACTCGAATGGCTTTATGTTACAGATACGATTGATGCTGTCTACCCACCAGAACGCTGGGAGCCTCTGGCCCTTGCAGATGAGATTTCACAAAGCTTTGGGACGCGCTCTGCGGCCACAGACGGCCCCAGGGAGTTGAACGAGCTCGGCTATAGTGTAAAACAGCCGGGTCTAACAGCGGACTGGATCCGTGAGACGGCGAAAGATGAACTCATTGATCGAATTCTTCGGCCTTGGTTTGAACAACTCAGCATCCATGCTTTCGAGAGCACTTACAGCATGAGCAGTGCGGGCTTGACAACATCTTACGATGATTTGTTGGCGGACTTATTCAACGAGAGTACCATGGCAAACTAGGCCTCTCCTTTTCTAACTTTCTAGGCGGCCATGATGAAATCTTATATGTAATATATCCAGAAATTGGGTACAGTTTCTTTCAGTTTAAGAGTAAAATAGTGTTGCAACCTGTTGTGCAGCTTTGGACCCCTGCGGTATTGTCAGGCGTTCGGGGCTTGCCTACTGGATTATATCCCTGGGATCTTTACGGTCGATGAATGAATAAACATATATTCATAGCACTCCCTTTCAGTAGTAGCAGAGAAATCCTTTTGGATGAGAAGACAAGGGCTATCATCAAATGTACCGGTACTGAAGCAGATACCTTAGGCAGGTATGCATGCTTAACTTCGGGCCCGTGATGATTAGCGGCCGTCTCCACCCGAGCTTAAATGGCAAACACCAACGTCACTTCAAGCTTTGCCGAACCTCCATCACTTGAACCTGTAAGAGCAGCAAATCCTCGCTGTAATTTACTTTCCCAGAATGTTCCTTGCTGATCCAAATATTAGACGCCTGGAGCATTTATGATTATGAGTGCTTACAGAATGGCATTTCCTGGGTTGCGCTCCGTCGCAACAAGGCGCGCGGCCATCTCCGTGCGAAGGAGCTTCTCTACCTCGCCATCCGTGAGAGCAGCTGCAGGCTCCACGTTGCCCGCTAAAAAACCTGTTGGGGCTTTCCGCGGAGGGTAAGCTTTACTGATCATATTTTCCTTAGAAGGCAGTGTACCCTCTTGATGTAACTAACCTGCTTGTAATGCTAGAATATTTGGCTTCCTTACTGGCACTGTTGTTGCCGGCGCTTCCGTTTACTACTACATCCTTGGGGAGTACAGAGTGACCAACGAGATGTTGACGGAGGACATATACGTATGTTATGGGAATTTCTTTTGTTTCATATGTCTCTTTTTCCTCTTAACTTGCTGTTATCATAATTCTCTCTTGTTCTTGGTTTCCTTTTTTCCAATTTCTTTCTTTTTCATTTCTTGGTCTCCTACAATCCTTCCATTTGGTGTGTTGGTACAACACAGATTTGCCTCCCCTCCCCCAGTAGCATCGGGTTTTAGACATAGCATAGCTCCCGTTTACCCCTTGATCCTTCACATATTTGGTTGTCCGCTCGAGGTAATCATACTAATCAGTATAAACAGGCGCTTCAATCAGCAACACAGAAGCTTCAGACATACATCGGTGAACTGGAGACGAGAGTGGATCAACTTAGGAAGAAATAGTGCTCACAGAACCACGCCACAACCAGTTCCCAAGCTATTTTTTATCAGGAGTTTGTTTCCCCATGGGTTTTTGAACACATTCAATTCTTGAATGCAGTTTATGTCCGGCATTTAGTGAGCTTTAACAGGAGAACGCAATTTTTCCTTGCATTACATCGATTACTACATAAAAAACGGTGCTATTTATGATATTAACTGGAAATTTAATATCTTGCCTTATAACTGACTGTAGTAAATGTACTGTCAGGTCAACTGCGTCATTCCCTTGGAATGCAAACATAGCAAACATGGAATGTTCCATGGAACATTTTCGGGGAGCGCCAAAAGACACGCCTTGGCGATAACATTGTCCTAAACCAATACAACCAATTTTTTCCCCTTTCATACTAACAATGTATCACGTCGAACTTCTTCCGAGTACGACAACTCACCTCACTCCGGGGTGGACCTACGTCCCCGACAGGGGCTTCGACCCATCCAAAGCAGCGATCACGCCTACCATCGGCAGGAAACGAGGCATTCGCGACCCCGGCAGCCGTGGAGATGTATCATCAAGACAGGCCAATGCGATCATCCGACATTTAGCAGAGCTCGATCGGGAGAACCATAAAGATGTCCATATTCCGATCCCGGTGAAACAAAAGGATGCAGCTGGAAGAGGTAGCTAGATTTTCTTCGAGATGCGTTGACGTGTTTTGCGACAGGACATGGCTAACAACTGTTCTGTCACTCACCAGGGACAAGAGGCAAAGTTACCTCGAATGTGCGCCGTATCCTTCAATCACAGAAGACCTTCAGAAACTACCTCGATGACGAAGAAGCCGCGTTAGCACAAGCAGCCCAGTCTACGACGCAGCGTCCCCCAGCCAACAAAGTAACAAAACCATCATCATTACGAAGAAGCTCGACACCTGCCACAACGCCCAAACCGGAATCCTCGCGTCAGAAGAAACAACCCTCCACTGTACCCGCGCGTCAGAGGGCATCAGCGACACCTGCAAAGCCACCCAGCGTCACTACCGCAGAAGACACAGAGAAGGAATCGGAGAAGGAGCCGGAGGACAAGCAAGCACTTATCAAAACCGAGCACGATAACGATCCCCTCCTGAAATCGTATATCCCCTCTGCACCGTCGGAACGTATCATGCAGGCACTTCTTGCGGAGCCGCCATTGACGTATAATGCTTCTCGCGTCGGTCCACCAGTCACAATGAAATCGCAGCGGTATTTCTGCTGTGTGTGCGGTTACTGGGGCAAGATCCGGTGCAAGAACTGCCCTTCGCGGACCTGCGGCTTGGACTGTTACAAACTTCATGAGGACTCCAGATGTGGGGCGTTCTACTAGGCCATTCAAATGCGGATTAGCCAAGAAAAAAACACCTACCGGATGATCATTCTTCTCATCTAGATCGCCATGCTGGAAACACCGGGCTGGTCGATGGAAATTGATTACACTCGCCTGGCGCGAAATCCGCTGTTCGCTGTCCAAGGCAGACGCTAGGGCATATCCCCTTCCACAACCTCGCGAGGTACCATTTTGGTGAAAACATTGTGAAGAACATGGGTGCTATTATATAATAGTCGAAATATGGGTCATGTGCCTATTTGCTTCTCCCAATGGATTCCACTCCTACCTGATGGAACAAAGAAGCCTTCCTACAGGCTCGGCGCCTATCTAACGCTACTAGGCCGTACGGATTGGGTAGCCTGTTCGACAAAAAGACGCACCGATGCACACGCTGAGGGAAAGCAAAGCGTGCATCTTGACTCGAACATACTCACGGGATTTCCCCAAGTCCAGCGACTGTCTCCTCGTGCACGCTCGCGGCCCTAATCGTGGCTACTGGTGGTCAATTTGATCACTCAGAAGTCAGAATTAGGTAAACAGATTACCACACATCTCAAGCCTATACAGCTCTCCGAAAGAGTAGACCAAGTCTAGGTCACATTTCTGGCTTGGGTGTCTTAATACACTATATACTTTTCCCAATATCCTTCAAACAGTGTGGTAATACGGCGCCACTATCACTACCTGAATGGAAGATGTATAGTTCGATTTCTATCATACTAAATGTATATGCATATGTATATCTGTGAATTAACACTTCAAGTTGATACCAGCTCGTAACTCCTCCTGCCGGATCTCAAACATAACCTGGACCCCCACAAACAGCGCCGCACAGGCCGTAGCCAGGTAAACCAGACCAGAATAAGACCCCAGCATCTCACTTAGCAAGCCCTGGATTCCGTCCAAGCCCAAAGCAAACCCGACCAAATTGGCAATCATCATCATGAGAATGTTCCCTACTGCACCAACACCGCAAAGGACGCGGTATGTGTTCGGACGGGAGCGCCATTTGTGCGCGGGGAAGAGCAGCGTAGCGATGATCTCGGGGAGAACGAAGAGCGTAATGAGCCACCCCCACATGAGGAGACGGAGGTTGAGGTCGTGCCAGAGAGCGACAAAGGTGAAGACGATGAGGAAGTTGAAGATCTGGCGGGCTTTGGCGAAGATTACAGATGATGATTTGTTATCGTCTCCGCGTGCTCGGCCTCTTCCTCCGCCTAGGGGCACGTAGACGTAGCGCACGATCCAGCGGTTGAATGAGCGGTGCCAGGCGCGCCAGAAGGCGAATGCGGAGTAGTTGTTTGAGACGCAGCGGACCATGTTCTCTGGTGGGTCGACGCCGTCCACTAGGGCCCAGAGCCGGAAGAACCGCCATGGGATTAGGAGCTTCAGCCAGATGATGTGCAGGTTGAAGAAGCCGAGCATGCTGAGCTGACCAGGGCTATACAATGACCAGTCCGGGTGTGCTTGGGAGATGGCCACTGCGTAGATGAAATGGAGGATGAATTCCATGGCCAGTACGGTCAAAAGGAATCGGACGGCGTAGCGAGTAACGCGGGATTGGTAAGAGAGAGAGGTGGGAATCGCTGCTGTGAAATATAATCGTTGAATGTTAAAATGGGCCCGGCTAGATATAATGGCGAATACAGCACATAGGCGAGATAATTGCGGCCGTTGAACGCGGACGGCTCTGCTGGGATGTTCACGCGGTCGCGCTCCGATAGTGCCGTGGGGTCAGTTTGTTTCTTCTTATAACCATTAGATAAGAACTTATTCTATGGAGGGAACGACTTACTTCAATGGGACTCGAGGCTGGATAATCGAGGCTCCAATAGTAATCCATATTGAAGCTGATCTGTCGCAATATCGTGACCTTAAAAAGCACCTCCCACCGGGGCATTATACCTCCAAAGCTGTCGAGATATCGACCCCATAGGACTAGAGGAGAGTCTTGTCCGGTGCTATCTGCCGAAGACACCAGCATGGTGGCTATGCGCTCAAAAGGGTAGCCTGTGCAGAGTTCGTTCGCAAACAGTATCGCAATGTTGAATGTCCAAGTAATAGTAGCCACATATTGTCGCGGAAGCGATTTCGCAATCTTGTAGTTCACATATAATATACCGAGCACCTTTATGGCAGATACACCATGGAGAGCAACGATAAAAATCAGGGCGAAGTAAAAGTCAAATCGGACCCGACGGGCCAAGCGAGCGTCTCCTTGAGCCGTAGTCG